GGAAGAGGTGAGGCAGGGGTGGGGCCTTGGGGGAAGGAGTGGAGGGGGGGGCAGCTTCTGGGGCTGAGCAGGAAGTTAAGCACCCCCAGGGAAAATTAGAAGCTGGCTTGGGGGGGTCCAAAATCAAATCAAAATTAAATCAAAATGGGGGTCCTCGGGTTGCTAAAGTTTGAGAACAGCTGTCATAACCATTTCTTTAACAGTCTGGGTGATTTTGTTTGTATTCACTGTTCATCCATCTCCTAAACTGGGGGTGGAATACACCCCCATCCACATCCCCAGCAAAGTTAAACAATGCAAGATCCTCTCTACCACTTGGGGCCCAATCCAGCTCCTGCTGACATCTATAGCCAAACTCAGACCTACAGTGATTTACCAGCTGAGGATCTGGCCAAGCCTATTGACTTCCAAGAGCGCTAGATCAGGGCCCTGAAGTGGGGCCTACGCAGGTCAGGAGCAAGGGTCCATTTAATCTTCAGAGCACGGACGCTCATTAAAAATTCCAGCCAGGGCATGTCTATATTGCACAGTGATTTCCACATCCCAAAGGGGCAGCGGGCTGTGTATCCTAGCTGGGGCACACATTGCCTTAGTCTTTTGCACAGCCTCCTTGGTCTGAACACGCAGGAATGTGAGTGGTGATTCCCACCCTCCAGAGCAGGTGGCTGTCCCAGCTCCTGCCCCTGATTCTGCTCCGAACTATCACCTCTCTGTTCCTTCTTCCTCCCGTCACCTCTCCCACCCAACACACACCTGGGAGTTTTGCACTTGACTCTGAAGCAGCCATTATAAGTCACAGGTGACTGAGAGATCAGATATCAGATTAGATGGGCCATTGCTCTGCTGAACTGGGGTGATTCAGATGTGGCTGTACAACATGGGATGGCAAAAAGCAGAAGCAGCATTTACTTTGGGAAGGAAATGAATGTGATTTGTTACTTTCAATTAGACACATTTCCTCTTTCTTTTGACACATGATGTGTCCTCTCTGGCTTCTCAGAAAATTAGTAGAAAGACATTTTTGACCCCTTACATCTCCTCACTCTGCAAGAAATGTGACCTAATTAGAGATACTTGTTTGACCTGTATCATCTAATGATATTTTTCCTCTCACTTGCCTTCCCTCTATCTGCAGGACATGAAGGCCAAGATTCCCAAAAGTATCTAAGTGACTTAAGGGCACAAGTTCTATTAACTTTCACTGTGATTTATGCTCCTACGTCATGCAGGCACTTTGGAAAAGCTCACCTGCAGTGCATCTACAAGGGTTAGTTGAACTAAATGGCTGTTTTCCTGATTTCTCCTTGATATGTTTTGTTTTCTTCCCTGTTGGGTCAATGCGTTCAAGACCAAGAGGCAGCAAGAACCTGTCTGCAGAAGGGATTGTTTTGCTGCAAACGTTTGTTTTAAAGCTTTGCAATGACCATAGATATTGCACTTCACTAGAAACGCCCTTCTAGGGCCTGATCCAAAAGCCTGTTGAAGTCAATAGAAAGACTCTCATTAACTCCAATTGCCTTTGGATCAGCCCCCAAATATCCAATTCCACAGCACATTAGCCTCTCTGATGATGAGCCATTCAGGGAAACAGAAAGGCAGAACATTTAAAACTAATAAAAGGTGCCCCACTTCATCACAAAAGGAAAAACATTTTTAAAAAAAAACACAACAAACAAATTAGGCTGTGGAACTCATTGCCACAAGCTATGAGATCTTTAGCTGAGGCTCAGACCTTAGCAGGATTTATAGGAACAAAAAGAACATCCAGAATTATGAAAATAAGCACTTTTAAAAGGTGAGACTTTTGAACAGAATATAAGGCCTCTTACTCCAGAGCACAAGCCAACCTCTAGCCAATATGAGTAAGAAAGAAACTTTCTCTGTGGGAGGATATTTCACACAGGATAAAAATCAGAGACTGGATGCTGGACTAGATATAGAATAGAGCAGTTTTCCTCTGCTAGTGTTTCTGTGGCTACCAGATAGTGTTCTAAAGAAGTTATCATGCAATTTATTTTCTTCTCCACTCCCTGTTTTTCTTCTGGTGTTTTAGTTGTATTGTCGTTATCAGCAAAAGAATCATCTAGGTCAGGAATATGAATTTATGGACCTAACTGGTGGGGAGAAAATCCTGAAATAATTACATTGCAAGGCTGCTTAGAAGCTGCTTTACACTGAATAATATTCTTCCTCCTACATAAATTTACAGGATTTTTAACTCTTCCCTTTTTATAGGTGGGTTTCTGAAATCTATTTTATTAGGGGAAAAAGATTTGAGTGTGTTAGGCAAAGTGCCAGTAGCCATGGCAACCTAGGATTTTTCCATCTTCATTACAAGCTCAAGTAAAACCTTCATATAAAATCTAAATGAAAGGGTACATTATAAGTCAATTTTCAAATGTTTGCCTGGAAGTAAAAATTTGGACTGCATCCTTTTTTTTCCTGCAGAACATTCTGGTTCTACACAGAACACATTTTTAAAGTGAGATTTTTGTTTTATTTATTTTTGCCTTCACGTTTTATTCAGTTTTCTCATGCAGAGTGTGTTGTCTAGTTGTTAGACCAAGGTAACTGGACTCCTGGATTCTAGTCACAGCTCTGACCCGCTGTCTGACTTGGGCAAGCTATTTAATCTCTACACATCTTTGTTCACTTATCTGTACAATAATGATGACAATAAGTTATATATCTCACAGGGGTGTTGCAATGATCAACTAATTAGCAAAGTACTTTGAGATCTTCCAGTTAAAGGAGTTATAAGTGTGCTAAGAGCCGCTGGTCTCTTGATTATATTTTCTCCTTAGTCTAAAAATCATACCAAAAGGCGAAGGAAATGTGTGGGTTAGAGAACAGTGTGAAGTGTCTGTTTTCTTTTCAAATAATTGATTATCTGAGAGCCTGAAGAGGAAAAACCAGGCTGTTTGTTTGGTTAAGAAACTCATGCAATGTTCCCCTAGTACAGAGTCATCACACATACAAATGTTTAGGTGCCTTAAATGGATTCATTCCAACATTGTTTCATCTGAAAGTGCTTCCGGCCAAGAGAGGAGACAAATCTGTAGCAGCCTTCATTTCCAGCCACATGGGCTGGACAACAGGGATCATTTCAAGGAGCCCCTGCTCAGCCATCCATCTCTGGGATATGCTGCTCAGTAGCTCCCGGGAGTTTGAACCAGGATGCGGCATCTCACCTCAGATCTCTGGCTGACCCTCCCTGCCCATTCAAGGCATTCAGAACCACGGGTTTAGGGCTGTGTTTTATCCTCTAATGCAGCTTCCCCAGGGAAAGGCACAGCGTCTCTGTACTCTCAGTGCTCCCAAATGAAATCACGACCAAGCTCAGGGCTGCAGATCCAAACACACATAGACATAAAGTCTCAGACACACCTCAAGGCAGGAACCTTGCCCGTAAAGCACTCTGTATTTATAGTTTCTGAAGCCCCATGGGTGTGCAAACACGGAGGATGAAACGTGCGAATGGGACTTTCTAACTTGTGCGCATAAATCCTGTTTGCACATACAAAACGGTGGGCTGATTTTCCAAACATAGCCCTTCATCTGGAAACAGATCGGCTCCATCCCATTAGTTAGAGCATAACAGATAATGCAATGATATACTGGTATGCCAGATTGGAACCTCACAGCAATGGTGCGAGCACCTAGAGGCACTGTGGGCCAGAAACAGGCAATTCCTCCTGGAGTTCCCTGGGAATTGTTGTCAGGCAGGGACTGGGCACAATCTGGCCTTTATGCTTTTCTTTGCAGTAAATTTCATCCTTCCTGGTGTTCATGGAAAATATTTTCCAGCTCCGCCATTAGGATGAAAGGAAACCCCACTCCTGTTGTATCTGATTTCCCTTCTGCCCTGTTACGGTTAAAGCTACAACCTGCTGCCTTCTAATATTGTACATTTCGGGGGGGAGACGGATTAAAAATGGCAGGGGGTTCTTTCTTTTTTTTGATACATCCTTCCTTCCGCCCCTCGCAATCAATTAGTGGGCAAAGACTTCCGAAAAGCTCTTTCCTCCCTAACCTTTCACAGACTGTAGCGATAATGACTCTGGAGAGCTCGAGCTGGGCCTTTGCGTGGGGTTTGTTACCCTCCTAGGGCAGCGTCAGGCGACCTCCATCACTTCCTCCTCTTCCTGTCCTACTCCTGCAGCTTAGATAGTCTCAGGAAAGAGGAGGGGGCTGCTGGAGGAAGGGATAATGTTCTCAAATTGGCTTGATGCCACCAGATAATGTTTCCTCTCTGGTGTCATTTCTGCAGTCAGAGGTAAGAGTATGGCTGTAGAGATTATATAGGCGCACTCTTTTCCCCGTTAATAAATAATAATTATGCATATCTGGAGTCAAGGTGGGGGGGAGAGCTCGCTGTTTTTAATTTACATTCTCTTTGTCTCTTAAACCACTTCTCGGAACCCAACCTCCCTACTGCTGCAGCTCCACCCCCCCCCAAAACACACAGCTTATAATTATGGGGTTACTTATTTTGCCAGCATTCCATGATTTTCCTTTATGTCCCTCAGCCTTCTCAGAGAGATAGATTTAGGTCTGTATGAATAGGCGTGGGATCCCATTGTACACTGTTGCTTGGCACCTGGTCCCTGTTTCGCAGCCAGTTTGTTTGTGACAGCTGTATCATGGGTAGGTGATGCTTCAGTCTAAAGTGTTTCTGTTTTGTGGTGCGTGCCTCTTGGGTGTGTGCATGAGAGAGAGAAAGGATCCGGTTCTGGGAAGGATTTCTAATACTTCTTAGAAGCAGGCATGGCACGGGCAGGATTTGTGCTGCACAATGCTGCCAATCGACCCCAATCCTGGCGGGCATCATCTCCTGCTCCTCCAGCCCTGGGACGCCCACAAAGCTCTGCTCAAGCACCTCAACCACTTCCCACTCTCCCAGTCCTATGGCTGACACACACACACCTCTGCCAAAGCACCTAAGCCTGGATCTGCAATGACCCCTGCTATTCCAGGTCTGGAGTCGCTCCTGCACGAACCTTGTCACGGGTGCCATTCCAGTGGTTTACTGACGCAGACCAGTGTCTACTAGGAAGTGACCTCCACGCTCATTTTCACTTGTGACCTCCTCAGGAAGTACTGATGGACTCCCCATTCGCCTTCCCACTATGCCGAAGTTCTGCTATTTTAACTGCGCACACAGCTCTCCTGGCATATCTGCATCTCACATACAGATCTGTGAGAAAAGGAAGCGAACCTATAAATAGCAGTTCAAGCCATTCTGTGGCTGCTGTGCGCAATTCGGCATCTCAGTTGGCAGGGATTCAATTAAACCCATTTTTTTATTTCTCTTCGTGGCGGGGTTCACACCCTGGGAGCTTTGGTTTGAGCTTTAGGTTCAGACTAAGCCCCCTCCCCCAAAAGAAATCCTTCAATGCAGAATTCAGCCTAAACTTCCACTTTTTGTCCTCTTTTCAGGAGAAAGATGGAGGGGATTCACCCCTAGGGTCATTGAAAATTCAGCCCCAGTTCAGTAGCAACCTTGACCCAGACCTTCAAAGGTATTTCAGTGCATAACTCCCATCAATGGGAGTTAATAGGGCTCCATGTATCTCGTAGGATCAGACCTATATCTCTGTCTCCATTTCTGGGTTTAGGTGTTTGGTGTGTGTCTGTCTGCTGTGTGTCCGGTCAGAGGAGATCTGGATAGGACTCAGACTTTTGATTAACTATTTGGAAACCGAGTCTTACTCCTCTCTCGCTCTATGTTTAAGCCAACTCCAGGACTTCTATTCCAATAAACCATTCCCCCTTTGGACAATGTGTCTCCTTGTTAATTTCTCTTTGGTAGCTGTGACAATGTTTCAAACACAAGAGGCAAAGTGGCCTAATCCATGAGAATACTGATTTCTGCCTTTCCCTCCTCCTTTAGAAAGCTACAAAAATTTGCAAAATTCCAAGTTTTGGTTCAGCAAAAGTCACTCACTCTGTCTTAGCTGTGTTTACGTCTCACCTTTATTTTAGGCTCATCCATCATTCTGATTCCAGAGATTTCATCTTATCAACATAATCGAGAGGCCAAAATTCTCAGTCCTAGCTGGGCATTAATAAATACAAGACAAATCCATCCAGAGGCTTAATTCTGCCTAAGACAGAGATAAGGGCTGTTAGTTATTAGCTCTTCTTATTAAACCTTAACTTGGGATAGACAGTCCTTCACTAAATAGTCTAAGTTTCCAGACCCTTTTTCCTTTTCAAAAACCCATGAAATCTCATCTCTGACCACTAGAAGGAGACGGGAAAGTCAAAAGACAAGCGGAGGACACAATTCCCACTCCCCCCTTCACCTAAAATCTAATAAAGATGATTAAATTACATGTCTTTTCCTCCCATTGAAATAACCGCACACTGCTCAAATATTAGGACTCAGGAAATAAAGCACGACAACTTCCCTCATGAAACCTTAGAAGGCAGAGCAGGGGGCAAGGGCTACAGGCCTGCAAGACTGGGCTGGTCTAATTAAGAAATCACCCTGCTGAGCAGAACCTAATCTAAATAAAATAGAAAAAGGAACCTAGTTCAAACCTCTGCCTCCCTCCCTTCCTTCCCTCCTCCACCCCCCCCCCACCCCAGGACGTCTGCCCCAGCCCACCTCACCCCCATCCAAAACCCATCCAAGTCACAGTGCGTTTTTCTCCTCTGGAGTTTCTTGGAGGGTACGGTTGGCTCACACAGAGCTCTGTGTGTGCTTAGGGTGGCCAATTTCCAAAGGAAAAATACACCAGCCATGTATGGCAGAAGACTGCTGTTTCTTTATTGGCGATTTTTTAAAATGCTACTTGGCCTGCTGTTTGCTAAGAAAAATGCTGGTGTCTCAACTGTTGCTAGGTAGGGCTGGCTGAAACGGTTTTTGGGTGGAAAATCAGGGGTTTCCATTAAATGGCATTTTTCGCTAAGTGTCCTCTTCCCACTGAAAAGTTTGATTCTTTGTTAAAAAAAAAACAAAAAACCTTTTAAAAAAAAATTTTAGACTGAATAGCAGAATATTTCCTCCAGACCCTGAAACATATTGATTCAACTATCCTACCCAGGTGTCTCCTGAGACTTGTAGTTGGGTGTCCTCATGTTCCCAGTCACCTCTATGGACCAGAGTCCCCAGTTGGACTACATGCAGTGTAGTTGTAGCTGGGTTGGTCCCAGGATATTAGAGAGACAAGGTGGGTGAGGTCTCAGGATATGAGAGAGACAATATCTTTTATTGGACCAACTTTTGTTGGTGAGAGAAAGAAGCTTTCGAGCCACAGAAGTTGGTCCAATAAGAGATATTACCTCACCCACATTGTCTCTCTACATCTCCCATGATTCATCATAGCCAGAGACTCCTATAATGCAAGTGCCTCCCCTCACTATGGTACACCATGGGAAATGTAGTCCTTCCAGGGGCCCAGACTATAAAGAGAATGGGAGCATGAAGCACCCATTTGAGGCCAACTACAACTCCCATGAGGCACTGTGGCAGTATTCAAATTGAAACATTTTGGTTTTCAACTGACATATTTAGATTCCCATTTTCTGACCACCTCAGACGGTTGACAAATTACCTGTATATAGGCACAAGAAGCCAATGTTTTCAAAAGTGACAAGTGATTTTAGGTGCCCAATTTGAACTACTGTAAAGGGGCCTGATATTTACCAGGAACATGCTGAGCCCCTTCTGAAAATCAGACACATTTAAAGGGTCTCAGACTGGGCACTCAAAGTCGCTGGTTACTTTTATAAAGCTTGGCCCAAAGCAACGTGGAAAGTCCAGGGGAGATGGATTTGAGCCTTCCTTCCCCACCACCACCACCACATGAAAAAAAATTAATTTAAACATTTAAGGGTTGAGAGTTGTTATTTTCTGCTTTTTCGTTATATTAGAAGGATCAGGAAGGTCAAGGACAGCCGTCCCTGTTTGTGTTGGAGAACTCACGGGAGGTCTCAGATGTAGACTGAGGTATCGCAAACCCTTAAGTGAAGTGGTGGCGGCATCACATCTTTATCAGATACTTTCTTCCAGCTGTTTTCAAGGTGTTTGAGTTAAATGGCTGTTAATAAAATGGGGCAAGAATATGAGAGCGCTGGACTGACTTGGGCTACGCCTGATTCTACAGTTACTCCCAGGCCAAAGACCCTGATACTGTGATGTGTATGTATAACTCTAGGTGTATATACACCTTGTTGTGTTTTTAAAATAAACATACTTAGATGGTTCAGAAGGAAATTGTTGCAATTTGAGGAAAGCATGGCCGGACCTGAAATGCAGAGCAAACAACATATATTTTTACTTATTAATAATTCCTGACAGATTATTTTTAAAGGTGGTTTTGCCTTCAGTGGAGCTATGCCAATTAATACCGGCTGAGGACCAGGCTGAAAGCTGGGTGTCCTTTACAGAAATAATTAGAGATGTGACAAGACCCAAATCCTAACATCCCTGAGAAGTTTGCATCCACATCCATACACTACAGTTTTGGCCCATGTCAGTGGGTAACACAGGAGTCAGGATGAGAGACAAATCTATAATCCAGAAAACTCCTTTTCTCCTTCCCAGCCACAATCTGCTAAAAGCTAATCCTAGTAATCTATAGGACATTGCCAAGTTCCTAAAGATTCCTTGCCACTGATGTGGCCCAAAGGGACCAGCCTCATTCTTGTTATCTCTCTTTATTAATAATTATTAATTATTATTATTACCTAATTAGGTTGTCATTCAAAGAATATAACAGACTCCTAGGTTACTCACAGAAGAGAGAGCTTCAGAAGGGCAGACGTGTCCACAAGATTGGGATGTCAGCACGAGTTCATTACTCTGCCTGTGTCAGATATTACATCTGTGATCATGATGAAACAGAAGCAGACAAAATCTCAGGGGAATGGGAATGTCACAAGCAGCATTTCCAGGTTGAAGTCTAAAAGAGAGGTCATAATAACTTCAGAACCAAACATTCAGAGCCTGGGGCTCTCACTGGACTGATTTTCACACTGTGGGACTCTGCTGTCACAGATTATATTAAGTGGAGAAAAAGGCAAAGAATCTAATTTGACTGATAGGATCACCTGAAATAAGAAGATGAACAAAGCCCACCTCATCACACCCCACCCTGGCCTCTAGACACACACATACATACCACTTGCTCTCCCAAATACCCTTTGTAACCTTATACTTGCTCCTAAAATCCCCAAACAGCAGTGTAGCACACTCCCAGACACTTCCAGACTTACTGCCATTTCATTTTCTTCTTAAACAGTAAAACCATTTCACTATAACTTGGCTAAAGCATTAACACTCTGGTTTCAGTTTCTTTTATGATAGCCTAGGGCAACTGCCAATTAGGGTCCCCCAGCCACCCTGCCCCCTCAGTAGCAACTCCCTGAACTGTCTTATAGTGCAACCCAGACACATAACTCTCCTGTTCTCTGATGAAAAAATATAAAATAATAATAAACACACCGTAGAAAAGATTATTGGAGTTATTTGCCAACAGAAAATGGCTACGAGCCAATCTCTCTTCTCAAATCCACTCTCCTCGCCCAGCATCACCACCCTTCCCCAAGCTGTTTCAACCACCATCGTTTCTTAAAGTGAAGTACACATGATTTTGCGCATTACAGGAATTGTCATAATACAGTTGTTTCAGGCTACCATGTCTGCTCTTAAATGTGACACAAAGAGGAAAGTTAAGTGACTTGTCCAGTTACTTGCCCTGTTAAGATTGAACAGCAAGCCTGTGGCATAGACAGGAATAGAACCTGGGTATTTTGTCTCTGAGTGCTGTGCTTTAACCACTAGACAATGCTTGCATATATGGGCATTTTAACCTCTTTGTTTCTCATATGGTGGCATATATTCCTCACCATTATAAATTGACTTCATACGGCTCTGTGGACAACGCGAAGTTCTACTACTCATTTACATAGTAACTAATACACTTCTAAGGAAGAAAAAAGAGATGGGAAAGACTAGAAGAAAAGCTAAAAAGAAAAGACTAAAACTGGTGAAACAAAAACAAAGTGGTGGTGTGGACGGCTCTTGAAATTTGTTGCCACTTGAAGACTTACATGGTTCAATAGACTCACTCAGAAACACATACATGCTCACAAATATGTACATCAAACCACTAAAATAAACAGACAGATTCCACCTATGAACAACACAAACATGAGAATAGATCACTACATGAATGCTAGAGAGAGAGAGAGAGAGAAAATGTTTATTCCCTCATATGCATATATATCTGTAAACATACACACACACACACACACATATATACATGTTGTGCGTTATTCACACAGATAATACTTTGCTCAGCTCTTTCATGAACTTACTGAATCTTAGCCAGGCTTATGGATATGAGTCAAAATGTTAAGAGAAAATGGAGAGGGGGGAAAAAAGACCACTAAGGACATGAAAGCATAAGGTAATAACCCGGGAAACACTCAGCCTAATAAACATCTCTCAGCCACGGCCTATTTTGACTCAATTCACCGAAGCTGTGCTTAAACACAGCGTTTAGCCAATCGCATCGGGCATGGATGTGCAGGGAAAAAGGTGATCCTGGGTCCTTTGTTGCTAAGAGCACTCGAGGCTAATTATTCTCCTTACCTTCCAGTTCTTTAAGCCTTCTTGACATCAGCAGATGTCCTGATTTGATTCCTATTTCACTGATCCTGAAGCAAGTTGATAGGTGGGGAGGGCAATGGGAAGAGGCTCTTGATAGTTTGACACTCTAGATCCAGGCCGGGAAGAGAAGAAAGGAATTTATTATTACACATTTTAAACGTGGAGCCACTCCAAATTTTCATAACAGTTATTTTCATCCTCTTCAATAAATTGTAGCTTGGTACCTGGACGTCATCTGCAAGTGAGCAGCAATGTAATCTCTCTGGAATAGCAGGATACCATCACATGGACCATTTTCTCTTTCTTTCAAAGGCAGACTCAGCTGAAGCCATTTGACTGCAGCTGCTGAATTCAGAACCAGCATCACCATCAACAGAGAGAGCCAGACATGTGTTGCAGCTAGGTGCATAGACAGCAATTGCACGTTTTCCACTGGGCAGCTTCTTAACTAGCTCATGGAGCCCACATGGCTTAAGATATTTAGGACAAGGGCGCGCTGTCAAAATCCCAGCTCCCAATAAAGCGCCAGCTTTAGCACCCCACCCCACCCCATTGCTCTGTCCGACATCACGCTTCCAGTTTGTTTTCCAGTCTGGAAAACACAAAGCTCCACTAACACTGCAGAGGCAGAGGTACCACCGAGCCAAGAGGGGGGGACCAGGTCCCCAGCCAGCCACCAATGCGGCAAGCAGCGACAACCGATCGGCGAGCAGGTCTGGTTGCTGCTGCCAGCAATGAAATGAGGCAGTAGTGTCCACCAATCTGATCTTTTATAGGCTTTGTTTATTAACTGGGTGCCCCTATTTCATAAGGCAGCGTTAGCTAGACTGTGATGAAGATGATGACTATTAGCAGGAGGCCAAGGACACCTTTTCTTAAGCCTCATTCATAGTGGCAGACATGGTAAAACAGCCTAGCAATTGTTCTCTCAAATGTCACCTTTCTGTGTAGGCCACTGTGCCGACAAAACCCTGCTCTCGGTGGGGCTTTTTTCCTTCCCTCCCCCCATTTAAAAAAAATAACCGTACTATCCTTTAACTATCGCCAAAGAAATTCAACCCACCAGGGACGTTTTTCTTCTTTTAGGCCTCCCCGCCCCCCATCCTTTATTTTTTCCCCTCCCTTCTTCACGTCGCTTGAACAATCTGGCTCTGTTCTGGGCACATTCTTGTGGCCTATTCTTTAGGTTGCTCGTGCAAGGTTCATTCTGAGTGGACGGTGGGGGGGGGGGGAACAATACAAGGTCTGCATTCAGGTAAGGAAGGGCTGGAAGGTGAATCTAATGTCGTGGGGGATTGTTGTGCCATCATCTTAATACCTGAGCAGGGGAAACAAAGAACCTTTAGAGAACTTGCTTCTAGGCTGTGACCCTCCCCCTCTTTCTTCCCCCCCCCCACCCCTGAAGGAACTCAAAAGATAACAAGGACTGAAAGAAATGGCACCAATATAATTAAAGCTATCCAAGCAATTTCTGGGGGTATTAGATATGATGACAGAGAACCAAGACATTAATAGTATTCCTGGTATTATTAACATCCACCAGCATGAAGGGACAGGTGTCTTTTTAAAACTCTTCATCAAAATTATTCCTCTTAGGAGTGACTCAAAGCAGGGCTGATGCTCCCAGACCAGGTAGAGCACACAGTCATTCCTAGAATGATCCAATGATCCTGTATATATATATATATATACACACACACATATAGTCAGCAGGGTGTTTAGTGACTGCAGAACTGGGATATTTTGCAGTTCACATAGGTGGCAAATCAGGGGCCTAGAGATGGGAAAGCGTTTGACCTTGATGAGTTTGATCAATAGAGTTTGACCAAGACTCAGCTAGAAAGAGGCTGAAAGTCGCTGCTGTCTGACAGCTGTTTGATGGATTGTGGGACATGATTTGATGAGGATGAACTCAGTCCAGTTCTCAGCGTGCAGCTATCTATCATTTAAGCCAGCTCATTTGCTGGTAGAGTCAGCAGAGAGGGATTGAATGGACCTTGGAGATAGTGTCCATCTAGCAAACCTTGAGATGGTCTCTTGCTAGAATAATTTTGAGGCAGACTAGTAGGGCAGCTGAGCCTATTTCAGTGGCCTGCTCATCTCATCATTACATCCAGATGGCCCTAGACTACATTTGTGGACATAGCAGTAGGACGCTTTGTCAACACATCATAGCTAACGTGAAGTGCCCCTGGTGTGAGAATGGGAGAGGAATACGAGCCAAGAATAAAATAAAGAATGGAAATACATATAGTAGTTCAGTTCTAAAAAAGGCTGGATACTTACATTAACAATAACATTTGCAGTTATACAGGTTAAAATGAAGATAATTAAATTTCATGCTCCAGGGCACAAACTGATTCCCACAAGGGTCAGGAAGGTATTTCCCCATAAGTACAGCAGTGCTCAACTGGCTAGGTAGTTTATAAGGGAAGAGGAAGGATCACTTTCCTGTGAAATATGAGGTACTGGCCTCTGCCAGTCACTAAACGTAGGACCGGCTAGATCATCGCTCTGCTTGCGGATGGTAAACAAACACCCAGAGGCTGATCCAAAACCCATTGAAGTCACTGGGTATTGAGATCAGTAGGGGTTGCAATCTCTGCACAATGTGTATGGTAGTGTCTGTAGGCTCCCTTATGCTCTAGCCCTGGGTATCCAAGGCTGTGACATGTAATGTGGACTTTGAATGAAAAACATTAAAAAAACATTAACTTCTCTGGGAGTTTTCTCCCCCCATGGTATTATGTCAGTCTGAAGTGATCCAAGCCAGGGCAGGATGGCTTTGGAACAAGGCTAAAGGGGTGTGAGAGATTAACTACCTGGCCTATCTTTTTGTTCAAGTGAAAAGACTTCAAACTCCCAGCTAATGAAGTCCAGAATCAAGCCATTCATCTCCTTATTAATCAGTCTCTTCATCAGTCCAATTTAATTTCAGACCAATACATTTCAAACTAGCAGCATAGCTCTGTTCTAGGTGGCAATCCCCACTACCTTCCTCACTATTCTGTAATGAAGAGATCCCATTGGATCCTATACTATTATAACAGGCTAGACACAAAAGCCTTATATCTTCCTCACTATCTGAGCACTGCCTCTGCCCCTGGCTCAAACCATCTTTCCTGTGTGCTGCCAGAAGCATTAAAAGCTTTTTTCATAAGGCCTCACCTTAGTTATTGGGCCACTGTTTAAAGGGATACCGTCAGCTCTTTGGGAAATGTCACTTGGACACAGCATTTCTGGCCCAACTAATCTGAGCTCCTGAGCCAGTTACAAGTCATCTGTGATTTTGTTTAGTGATTAAACAAATCTCAGCTACAGGCTTGAAAATGGGCTTTTGGAAAATATCTCAGTGTTACTAGCTCTCGCAGTTTTATGATAAGTCTCAAGGTTGGATGTTTTTCTTAAAGCCCCAGCTGATGGAATCAGATTCTATGAGAATCTCTGCTTTGTTTAAAAAAGAAAAGAAAAAGATTTCTAGCCCTCTGGCTTGCAGAGAAAAATCTTGAAAACATGAAGCAAAATCAGCCTAAAGGCTCACACACTGTAAGGCAAATAAGAAAACTAACCCAACATATATTGTTTTTATTTTAATCTCATGATTTTAAGCAAATCTCATGATTTGGCAGGGTGTGGGGGTCGCTCGAATCATAACTTTCGAATATTTGAGTTGATGATACTCATACCAGTACATTCCCCTGCTTGGAATGTAGCAGCCTGAGCTTGTTAACCTTTCTGGCTCATCAAAGGAAGGCTCATGTTTTCTGCTTGACCCACAAAGAGTCAAGAGCTGGGGGAAATTGGGGTAGAAGATGTCGGGGAGCTAGTGTTAGCTGTAAGTAACTACCAGAGTCGGATTATGTATGAATGGTGCCCAAAGGGCGCACTGGACCCTCTTTTATGTAGGATAGTATGAATCTAAATAACTGTTGCTTGCACAATACCTTTAATGAAAAAAGAGTTGTGAGAAATGTGAAGTGAAATCCTACTTAGAGGTCACCAAAAATGTTTGCAAATAGTTTTCGTCACTCTTCACCCACCTCCGCTGGTACCTAAAGCCCAGTTCCAATCTGGTCCAGTTCCATAATATAATTAATAGTCAGTTCAGCTCCTGCTGTTATGCCAGAAAACTTGAGGTAGTTTCTGCTCCAATTTCAGCTCTTCCAAATCAATGTTTTTCTGGACTGGAGTTCACACTGTTTGTCTTGCTCTGCACTCAGTGTATAACCTCATTAAGCAAAAGCATAAAGTCTGTTATTTATTTATTCCACATGATAAAACCAGGATATTACTCACAGTGATAACATGGGTTAATTTTCAGTGAAGTCTCTTTTGGCAGCAGGTGGCAAACTTTTAATAAATACAATGAATAACACTCCTATCAGATCCAAGATAAAAGGCTGTCATATCATAAACTCATTTCGCTCTTTGGGCCAGTAACATTAGACTTCAAGGTGCTGTAATTATCTTCCATTGATTTTTATTTATTTTTTATTGTTACTCATAAAAAATGGAGCATAAAATTCAATTAGTTCAACAAGATTTGGTGTGAGCTTGGACGCTAAGGTGTAATAGGTGTCTATACAATGTAATTTAAGGGCACCACCCTGCCAGCTGACTACTATGAACATCCGACAGAGCTATTTCTGCTGGAAGAAAGGGTCTTTGCAGGAGTTCTGGCTGGGGATGTCTGTAATGGGAGCAAAGTTCACACCACACCAGCAGGACGGAACATCTGAAGTGCACTAGGAGCAGTGATAAGCTCCATTGACAGCCCAGCCAGCCCTGCTTCTCTCTTAGAATAGAGGTCACGAGCCCTCATGGTGGAATCCACTTGGGATACAAGACAGGTAACTAGTCCTTCCCAAATGTTTCCTCCAGTAATAACCCTCACTCTAAGCTGTTACGGCAGAATGAAACATGGAGGCAGCAGGGCCCAGTGGCTGGATTGGGACTCACGACTCCTGGGTTCTATTCCTGGCTCTGCCCTTGGGTGACAGTGGGCTACTTACTTCCCCTTTCCTAGCCTCAGTTTCCCCAACTGCCAAACGGAAATGATGACACTGACCTCCTTTGTAAAACACTCTCTTATATGGTGGTTTTCGT